CCCGGGCCCCCGCCCCCAGCCCCCTGCATGCGGGTGCGTGTTCAGTCTCGCGTCCTCGGGGCCCCGTCCTGGTGGTGCTCTAAGCTTCGTTCCCACGCAGCCACTACTGTGAGTTATTTGTTGTGGTAATAAATCAGGAAGACGTGGTTTTCCGTGGCCACCTGGAACCGTGTGCCGTGGTTTACTTAGTGGGCCCCTGCGCGTGGACTGTTGCCGGGTCAGCCTGTAAGGGCAGGTTTTAAACTCAACCCGATCCTTGGAGGGACACCCTTGTGCGAGTCACACCGGGACAGCCGTGCTCCTGGGCTTTCTCTGAGAAAACTCACTGCGCACACCGCCAAGGCGCCACAGCGTCCGTGGTCCCTTCACGTGGCACAGATTAGAGGGGGAAGTTAACGAGCCGGGAGTGGCCTGGTGTGTAGTTGGCACTGAATAAGCAGTCCCTGCTGCTTGGGACGGACCGGCTCTCGCTCTCTCTTGTCCGCTGTTGTCACCTTGCTGTTGGGGAACTGAGTGTCCGATGCACCTGGGGCCGATGTAATTGAAGTTCAGATGGCATCACACTGGATCAGGGTGGGTCCTAAACCCAACTTCTGGTGTCCTTCTGAGCAGGGAGAGCACTGTCCTGGGAGCCACGGGGGTTGCTCAGCGACGTCCCTCCCCGCCCGACCCGCCCGTCCCGTCTTCCTAAATAAGCAGGACGGTTGTTTCCCGTCAGGGCTGTTCTTCTTCACGGGCCTGCAGCCCCAGGTGGCTGCCCCCATCCCACCCTCACTGTTCTCACCTGGGATTGTCTGGAACAGTTTTCACCCCGTGGGACCAACCAATCAGGACCTGCAGTCGAGAACATCCAGGCCGAGAAATCGGCCTCCCGCAGCCAAGCCTGCCCTGCCCGAGCCGCACTCAGAGCCCACGGTGAGTGACCTCGCTGCAGAGTCCGACTCCGGCCCCTCGGAGACCGGCGATGGAACTCGGGAGGCTGGTGAGCAGATGCCATCAAAGCTGCAACTACAGGCCCCTGTTGTTCTGTGTGGGTTTCACTGACGTGGCTCCGAATAAATGAGGCTTTCTGTGCTACCCGCCTGGCCACACAAGCCCTGCTTTGAGCCGGCCGGATGCCGGGCTCTGGCCAGGGCCCCTTGTTCTCGGCTTCCCACCACACTTCCCTGCCCTGCGAAGTGCCTCTCTGCTGGCCCCGCACTATGGCAGGACCATGTCCCTGCAGGTGACCCCAGGATTTTCTTTTTTTTTTTTAACCCTCGAGGATATTTTTCCATTGCTTTTTCAGAGAGTGGGAGGGAGAGAGAGGGAAACATCGATGTGAAAGAGAGACATCGATTGGTTGCCTCCCCTACCAGGGCCAGAATCAAGCCTGCAACCCAGGTACCTGTCCTTGGCCGGAATTGAACCCGGGACCCTTCAGTCCATGGGCCATTGCTCTAACCACTGAGCTGAACCAGCCAGAGCGACCCCAGGGTTTTCCAGATACGCAGGGGAGCGGCCAGCCGGGGCCCAAAAATCCATTCTGCAAATACTGACAATTGCAGTGACACGATCGAGGACATTTCAGATGAGCCAACATCCCTAGGACCAGGCGGGGTTCAGCGGGGGGCTGGTGGCTACATCCAGGGCTCCTGTGCTGACGTCCTGTCGCTGAGCCCAGGGTAGTGACTGGCGGACTTTCCGGAAGATCCTGCGGGAGGAGCGGCCCTTTTCGAGCACCGGGCCAAGACGAGGTGGTGTCCAGGCTCAAGCCCGCAGAGTCCACACCACCGTCTTTTTAGGGACAGAGCTGGAGGTGGCACCACCTGGAGCCTTCCTCAGGTCTCCTCCTTATCCCACGACCCCTCCTCTGCCGGGCCGGCTCTGTCTGTCCCGGCTCCTCCCCACAGAGCCAACCACGCCTGCCATAGTCCTTGTGTTTTGCTATTTTCTAATTACATCCGATCATTTATATGTTACTTATGTCACACTTTTTTTTTAGATTTAAAACACCATGTGCCCGGCTGGCGTGGCTCAGTGGTTGAGTGTTCAGCTAGGAACCGGGAGGTCACACGGTTCGATTCCGGGTCCAGGCACCTGCCCGGGTTGTGGGCTCGGTCCCCAGTTGGGAGCGTGCAGGACGCAGCTGACCAATGACTCTCGTCGTTGATGTTTCTGTTTCTCTCTCCCTCTCCTTCCTCTCTCTGAAATCAAAAAATTTTTTTTTAATTCTAAATCAGGCGGATCGCCTCGTGGGTCGTATAAAATGTCCAGCCACTGTGTCGCACAGGTGAAGGATGTGATGGTGTCGACTGGAATTTTTAAAAAGGTTTTGGAAAGAATTCTGATTCCTAAAGGCTGCGTCGGGTTTTACAAAGACGCTGCACAGGCGGGTAGCTGTGTCCTCAGGCGACGTGGCTGGTCCAGGCGGTGGGTCTGGACCCCACCAGGCTGCGGTGGGTCCCCTGCCCCCTTTGCTGGCCCCTCAACCGCTCCTGTGACTTTGGGGACGGCCCAGAGCTCGGACGCGCACATGGGTGTTACCAAGCATGGGAACCTACCAAGCACAGGGACCGATGGTGACACCAGCTTTGGGGAGAAGAGCTTTCGTTGCGGGTTGGTGGCCGGAGACAGGAGGCAGGGCTCAAATCTGTCTCCCCATCTACGGTTCTGGCCGGATTTTATGGGGTTTCAGCACCATATCTTCCTGGACAGTGGACCCTCTGCCCTGGAAGGTTCCTGTCCTGTACCATCCCTTGATTCCAGGGGGAGAGCAGTTAAGGGTTCACACGTGTCACCAGTAAGTGGGGTAAACTTTGGTTCCAGGTCTTGTTAGAAGCAGGGTGAGAGCAGTGTGATCTGGTTCTGCAGCTACGTGGGCATGTCCACAACCTGCCACTGCCCCTCAGGCACACGCGGGAGGCTCCTCAGCCCGGAAGGGGTCTGGGTCTTGCCCCGCACTCCGCTGGACGCAGATGAGCTCTGCTGGCATATCCCCCCCCATCAGGTGGCAGCGGCAGGGCGGGCAGGGCTGGGCTTTACCTTCTGTGCCTGCAGAGGGGTCCCACTGGGGGACTGTGTCTGAGCACTGGGTTCCCACAGAGCCTGTCCTGCTGGGCCCCAGAAGGTCCAGCCCAGTTCAGCCCACTGCCCTCCAGCGAAAGCTCTGTGGCCAGGGCCAGTCTGCCCCACTGGGCGCCCCCTTCTTTCAGGCAAATTTTCTCCCCGGGCCCCCAGTAAGTCACCACAAGGCCATAGCAGCAGTGGACGAGGCCTGGGTCCTGCCCAGGTCCCTGATGAACTAGACAGTGGGCGCAGCTGGTTGTACATGGGATCCGGCACCTGCGCAGGCTGCGGGTAAATACAAGAGAGCGCTCGGCCACCCTGCTCAGGTCCCGTGCACACGCCTGGGCTCACCCCCAGGTGCTGGGATTGAAGGGCCGGCAGAAGTCCGCCCAGCAAGTGGGGGATGTGGGAGGGGAGCCCCCAGAAGGACTGAGCCTGCTGTTTGCAGCCCAAGGGAAGGACAGTGTGACTGCGCAGTGTGGACCAGGAGCCCAGGGCTGGAGGGAGGTGGGTGAGGCGGGAACCGGCTTTGTCTTTCAGAATAATTATTTTAATCGGCACTGGTAGCAGCAGTGGGCAGAGCCAGGCTCCCACCAGTGCCCTTGGGCTCTGCTGGTTGGCAGGGGAGAGGGTCGTGAGGTGTAAATAAGTTACATCAGACCCTTTGCTCAGGGCCTGGAGCACCAGTGTTTGCTGTATTAGCATTATTATTTTATTTCTCACCTGATTTTTTCCCATTGCTTCTCAGAGTGGAAAGGAGAGAGAGAGAGAAACATCGATGTGAGAGAGACACATCCATTGGTTGCCTCCCACACGTGCCCCGACCGGGCCAGGGATGGAACCTGCAACAGAGGCACATGCCCTGGGCCGGAATCGANCCGGCCAGGGATGGAACCTGCAACAGAGGCACATGCCCTGGGCCGGAATCGAACCTGGGACCCTTCAGTCCGCAGGCTGGAGCTCTAATCGTTGAGCCAAACGGTTCAGGGCTACTATTATTATTATTAATTCCCCAGCAGCCCCAGGGCGCAGGAATTTGAGCTCACAGAGCAGGGCGGGGTGCAGACCCCGCCCAGGTGGGCTCTTGGTTATCAGTGACCCCCCGCCACGGCTGTGCTTGCTTTATCCGTACGCCGGGGCTGGTGACCTCCACTCTGCACCAGAGTGGCCTGAAGCTCAGCTTAGTGACCCTCCTGGTGGCCGCAGGGCCGTCCTCCAGCTGGCTGCCGTCTCTGTAAGGTCGTACAAGGGGCTGGGCACGGTGCAGGGACCTGGGCGCATCCCTACCTCCCATGCCAAGGGCTCCTGGATCCGGCCAGCTGGGCGGGAGCGGCTGGGGGAGACGCGGATGCGGCCCCCGCGGAGTTGGTGCCGCCCGCCTGCCCTGGCAGGAGACGCCGCCCCGGGCTCCGGGTCACAGGAGGGCCCTGTGCGGACCAGGGGGAGCCGGCCGAGGTGGGAGGAGGGCAGGACTGGGCTCAGGAAATGAAACCGACGTGGGCGCAGGGGTGCCAAAGGTGAGAGCGGGCTGGTGACGTGGGCGCAGGGGTGCCAAGGGTGAGAGCGGGCTGGCGGGGTGCAGGCGGGATGCGGGTCCCGTGGGTGCTCGCCTGCCCGGCGGGTGAGCCAGGGGTGCAGGGCCCCCTGCGTGCTGGGTGCGGGTCACATGGATGCGAGGGTGCCCCACAGGTCGAGGTCTCGGGGTCACTGCGCCCGGCAGGGGCAAGCGGGCAGTGGCTTCTGCGTCCTGGTGCGCCTCTGCCCACTGTTCCCTCCCCTGAGGTGACTTCTTCCTGAGCCGCCGGTTTCGTTTTCACTGCCAGGAACCCGCCCCCCCCCGCAGGCGTGCAGCTCGCATTCTGAGGCCCCGGCGACACTCCCCAAGGCCCAGCCGCGGGCGCGGGGACCCCAGGCGGGAAGTATGAGGTTGGCCCCTGAGGAGGGGCCTCTGCCTGGCTGGCAGTGGACTGGGGCGGCCAGACCTGGGGTCGCGCCTCCCCCAGGAAGCCGGCCCTTTCACTCACGGCAACAGTGGAACCTGTTTCATACACTTTTACAAGAATGTTATCTCTGCCCACATCACCCCACCGCCCCGGGCGCGGGGTTCTTCCCAGCGGCTCCCGCCCAGGCCAGCGCCTGTTTGGTGGGGGGCGTGAGAGCCATGGGGGAGCGCAGGCTGAAGGAGTTCCGAGCGGGGAGGGGCCTGGGCCCCTCCAGCCCCGACCCCATCCGGGACCCCATCCAGCCGGGCAGGACCCACTCCAGCCCCTAGGTTCCTTGGGTGGTGGTTGGGGGAATGGGCTTTGAGTTGGGGCAGAGCTCAACGGCTGGAAATAAAGGGAAAGGAAAGTCTGGAAGCCGATAGAGCAGCGTATTCCCACCCTGAGGCCCCCAGCCCACCCTGAGGTGCAGGTGGGACACCGGACACTTCACTGAGGTTGCTGGCCCTGCTGTGAGTTTCCCGGTCCGTGGGGGAGGTCATCGGTGGTCCGTGGGGAAGGTCATCGGTGGTCCGTGGGGAAGGTCATCGGTGGTCCGTGGGGAAGGTCATTGGCGAGGTTAATGTAAGAAACACTGAGACCTGTGAAGGGATTTGTGAGCTGCAGGGGAGGGGCTCAGGCTAGGGGCTGTTATTTCACTTTCCGGAAAATGAAACTGAAGCAGGACTGTGGTCACGTGACAGGTGGCTGGGAATAAAGGCGGTCCCTTCCCCCGACACTCGCTTCAGATCTGCCGGGGCACCGCCGGCGGAATGGAGTGTCCGTCCTGCCGGCACGTTTCCGAAACGCGAGCGCCCAAGTTCTGCAGCGAGTGCGGACACAGGCTGCCCCCCGCGGGCCCCGCTCCGGGTAAGGCCCGGGTGCCCATGGGCACGGGGGTGTGGGTGTGGGTGGGTGTGGCGCGAGCGAGCACGGGAGGGGGGGCGGTCAGCGCAGTCCTGCCAGACGTTCAAACCTGTGGAGAATCTTTGTGTTTATTTGAGCCAAACCGTCCACAACTGCCAGGGAGCAGAATCTCGGCGGGTTCAGATAATGCCCCGAGAGTGGCAGTTCTGCACCTTGTTTTATGCGTTACAATCAAAAGAGGAGACGCCCGGGGGTTCCCCGAAGTCCAGGGGTGATAGAGGAGGGAGGCGGGAGCAGGCAAAGCGGGAAACCTCGGGGCTGGGTAAGAAGTCAAAGGACAGACGCACTCCTTTCACTTAGGTGGGCGCCGGGTGGTTAACGGTCAGCGATTAACGTGGTTTCAGTGACAGTGAGAAGCGTACGGTCTCTGCCCGGTGCCCTGGTTGTGCCCCGGGGGGGGG